CCCAAAAAATAGTTGTATCATTTTAAATGATTCTGCAGTACATCCATGTTCAGTGCTGCACTGTTCTCAACAGCCAAATGGTGGAAATAAACCAAATGTCCGTCTACCAATGAGCAGAGGAGCAAATTCTAGTATATACACACAAGGGAATATTATTCAGACATAAAAGAAATAAAGTACGGTTACAAGGCAGATGAACCCCCAAAATAGTATGCTAATAAGCCAAATACAAAAGGTCATATATTGTAGGATTCCATTTATAAAAAATATTCATGCATCCGTGGATGTTTTGCTGCCCTTGTCTAGGTTGGATTAATACTTAGTCTATAGGCACACACCTGATCATCTACATTTGCCCTCTTACAGCACTAAACTATGTTTTCTACCTTTATCTTGCATCTACCTACCACTTCAGCATTTTATTAAAAATAATAATAATAATAAGGGAGAAATGTGGGATTCACATATAAATCAAGTATAAAAATCAAATGAATAATCATATTTGACCTGATTGTTTATAGTTCGTGATGCGTGATCAAAACCAAAAGTTTCTGTGATATGACTGCCCTTGTACTGTTCACCATGTAAAAACTTACTCACTATGTAAGAACTTGTTCACCATGTAAGAACTTGTTCATTATGCTTCAGAAGATTGGAGACTGTTGAGAATTAGTCTTGGGGTTGATTAACGATTGTGCATTGAGTCCCCTATACAGAATTTATTGTTGTTAACAACCATTTGATCAATAAATATGAGAGATGCCCTCTCAAAAAAAAAATATTCAAAGTAAATCCAAAGAGAACACAGATTGGTGATTACCACGATTGAGGGAGGAGGAATGGGAAACAACTGCTTAATGTAAATAAGTTTCCTTTTGGGGTGAGGAAAATGTTTTGGAACTAGACAAAAGTGCCAATTGACCACTGAATTGAATGTGTTAAATAGTTGCTGAATTTTTCACTGTAAAATGGTTCATTATGGGAATTTCACTTCATAAAAAGATTTGAAAAATAATATTCTGCAGTTTATAGCTTTGTTACCAGCTTTTTACAGGCTCCCTATAGAACCTCTTTCTATGCCAGTATGATTGAATATCATTATTTTTCATAGCTGCATATTGTTCTACTGTAAGAATTACCATAGTTCACATCATTAATCTCCTATTGTTAGGTATTTTTAATCTATTGTAAACAGTGCTGAGATTAATATCCATGTACCTATATTAGCAGATTCTTAATTTTTCCATAAAGAACAAGAAGCAAAATTTCTTCATAAAAGAATACAAAGATTTTATATATATTATATCCTATCTGCCTTCCCTCAGTTGTCTCTATCACAAACATCGTTTCAAAGTGCTCATTTCCTTGCTTGCATCCATGAAAGTCTGATATCAAAATACTTTGTTTTAAATTTTATTCCCTTGATTTAAAAAGGTATGAATTTTAAATTCCAACAAAACTGTTCTGTAGGCTGAGAGATTTTGAGAAGTATATTCTTTAAAGTGGGCAAGAAGCATGAAAATAGCCTTAGTATATGCTTTGACTTGGAGTCACTCATCAAGTTTCAGAACACTTACTTATCTAAATGAGCACTGTCTTCTTGACAAACATTTATTGAATGTCTCTCATATGCTAGACAATATTAAGTCCCTAGAATATAAAAATAATAAAATAAGGTTTCTATGATAGGGGTTCAGTCTCATTGGGAGAAAATTATACAATAATTATAATTAAATGGCACACATGCAAACAAGTGTTCGGAGTAGCCCTGGAAAACTGATCTGACTCTAATTTTAGTGATGTTGCCTTTGCTGAATATATATTTCAAACCACTTTTTTGGTATTGACTTCAGAATCTACAGCAAATTCTTCTGCATAGTTTCTGTGGTAGTGAATATTCATCGCTTAGAGAAGAGTTTGACTTTTGGAAATAATTAAATGTTATTTGAAGCCAAGTCTGCCGAATGAATCAGGTGTTGATTGTGCTCTTGGGATTATGATGATGTAATTGGGGTTTTGGGCCCCAAGAGGGGCATGATTACAATGTAATCAAGTTATTAAACCAATTTTACTAAGTGGCTACTTGGACTTGATCCCATTCCTTGAACAATATTGCTGTGTGTTGTAGGGTGGTAGCTTTCAAACTTTTGACCCAATCCAGTAGGAAATAAATATACCATAGTGGGAAACATATGCCATATTGGGAAATATGTTTTATATCACAAACCAGGTAAACACATGCATACAGCTGAAACAAAGATTTCACAAAACAATATACTCTTACCTGATGCAGCACATTCTAGTGTTTTTTATTAGATTCTATTCCATTTTTTTAAATCACTGGGGTAATACACTAAATTGATTCCGTATGTCACTAATGAGTCATTGCTCACATTCTGATAAACATTGCTCTAGGTTTCAAATCAACTATCTTTACTACTTTGGCTCAACTGTTTTCAAGGAATTCAGAGAAGTAATAAAAATTTGTTAACTGAACTGATAATCTGACATTGCCACGTAAAATAAATGGATGGCAACTACAAAGATTTGGAAATGCTACTATAATTCCAAAGAGTTCCTTTCATTTCAGGTTTTAGCCTGACTTGAAATAGCAGCTTCTGCAGCAAACGAAGGGAACATTCTAATTTGAACCTGATGTTAAGTATAATTATCAAGCTACAACATATTTGCCAATATGCACAGGTAATTATCATGACCTATATAATTACATTGTTCTGAAAACATGATCCATGTGCTCACTTTTGCCCTTATTTTTAAAAACACGTGTTATTTTGGTGTATTTTTAAAGTCTGTAATAGAGAAAATGGAGTTTAATAAGTCTCAGTTTATAGTATAATAGTAATAACAGCCTCTTGCATCCAAACAATCTTTTGCTTATATATTATGATAATATGATGAAAACAAGTATGCGAAAAGGCCCTGTAAACTGGAAGAATGATAGACTTCTAGTTATTTATTTATTTAGTGATAGATATTGAATGCCTACAATGTATCCGATACTACACAACATACCACATTTTATTGATTTTTATTCAGAAATGGCCTTTTGCCTGGGGAAAGTAATTGCCATTCAGTAATTGCAAATTTGGCATGATAAATACTATGAATAAAGTAGTCTTAATAACACAGGGGGGTGTTTGATTTGGACGAAGAGGAAGATATCAAGCTGGGTCTTGAAGAACAAGTAGGAGTTTTCCAGATGACAAGGGGCAAGGATTGAAACGGAACAGAAAGAGACCCAGAAGCATCAGAGACAGGCATATCCATGAAATAGTAAGTTTGGTGTTAATGTAGTGTGTTCTTCTTTGGGAAGAGTGACAGGAAATAACTGAGAAAGGTAGCAAATGTCATTCCATTTTAAGAAGTTGATTCCGTTTTAAGTCAATGCTTTAGTATGGCCTACAAGCCAATCCTCTAGAGAAAAGGAGTTTCAGAGGCTCTTAGGCAAGGAAAGGACATGATCAGATTTAATTTTTTAAAAAATGATTCTGATAACACCAGAGAGAATGAAATTAGAAGGTCCTACGTCAGGGAGACCAGTTAGAAATCTTTTGAAACAAAGTGAAAACACCGGAGGGCTTCTACTGGAGTAGTATACACAATAACAAGTGTAGAAAGGCTTTCATAGCTTCCCAAAGTTTGTATTCCCTGTTTCTTTTTTTCTCCGTATTATTTTATTTTTAATTATAATTAATTAATTATAATCACTATCATAATTATAATCAACCTGTAATGGAGCTAGTACATTCCTATTTACCAGTGAGAATTCAAAGGCGGATAGCAGGCAGGAGCGCCATGATTCCCAGGCAAAACCATCTGCTTTTGGAGTCCGGGTATGTGAGCTTGTGTAAATGTAGCTGGAGGGGCTGGATTTGTGGCACCTTTCTGAGAGAAACCCAGCAGAGCAAGCTGAATATAGTAACAGAGGAAGCAGGATTTGGATACCTGAATTCAATTCTGTGTAACTGGAACAAGCTATTTAAAGCATGAGAGAATAATTCAAATATGACAAACTTCAGACTCTTCATCTCTGAAATAGAGCTAATAACCCATAAGGCTATTATTAAAGGCTACTATGAGGATTAGATCGGATAACATAAATGTGCTTCATATATGTTAAAAAAGAAAAAAGCCCTTTTAAGGGCTAGATAAAAAAGTAGTTGTAGTAATAATAATAACAAAGACATATTACTTGTTTTTAAGTCTTCTTGGTGACATTGGATGTCAGTGAAGACAAAGGAGTCAAGAATGGTGGTGTGGTTTCTATTATGATAGACTGGATGGGCATTGATGTCACAGTTGAAAGAGGAACAGTTTAGGAAGTAAA